ACTAGAACCAGGAGCTAATCAATCGAGGCATCGTCTGAAGATGGAGGATGAAGGCCTGCCCTACTCCAGTATCAGCGCCTTCAATGCTCATCTGCCACCACTTCCTCTGTCCAGGTCAACAAGAAAGCTCCATGTCTACTTGCCAACGCAGCACGGCGTGCGCAACATGTTCATGTCGCAGTATCAAAACTCCGGCCCAGCCTATCAGCAGTTTGGTCAGCACTTTCCGGCCAATGGCGCTTCTTTCCCCCAGCCGAACAACTGGCTGAACACGCCCATGCTCCAGCCTCACCAGTTCGCTCCTTCTTCGCCACAGGGATTCCAGCAGACGCAGCAGTACAGCCCCACCACCACGCAGCCGCCCCAGGGATACCGCCAGATGCCTTACTACATTCCCCAGCGCACCCAGTCCCAGGCTCACCAACGCGCTCTTTCTATTCAATTGCCCCAGGGCACATCGCAGTTCGAGCTTCCTGCCCAGCCGGCAAGTGCTGGTGTCACGACGCCGCAGCAGGAGCTCAATCGCAGACTGTCTTTACCGCCGCAAGCTTTCCAACAGCAACCGAACCAGTCGGTAGAGCGACCAACGCGCCCTACTCTGTCGCGTTCGCCTACTGCTCATTCTTTGCAGAACCGCCAGTCTCTGTCACCGCAGACTGCGTCACCAACTGCAGGCTCAGTGCACGATGTCTCGCGCGTGCAGAGCGGCCCTAATACGCCCTCGTCATCTTACACGATGAGCAGCCCAGCGAACTACCCGTTCAGCTCGCAGGCTCTCAACACCAACCCTTTGACTCTCTCAATGCCCCCTGAGTCGCAGCAGTTCATCGGATCGGCTCTTGATATCAACGACCCGCGCACTGCCACTCTCATGGCTGGCAGCGAGAATATTCCTCAGCCCTTTACCACCTACACGTATAATCCCAACAAGATCACCCGTACATCAAGCACCAGCAGCATGTCGGACAATGCCACTGGTTCCGCGCAAACCTTGTCGTCGGGTCTCAATCTGAAGACCGAGCCCATTTCTGGCGCCACCTCACCGGCCGTCTCCACTGTCGTCACAGAGAACCTCTTTGCAAACGACACATTCTTCACCGCTGGAAGTAATGATTATAATTCTTTCTCCTATTTCCAGGACAGCGAGTTTACCCAGCCCTTCGATGATCACTCCCTTAACGATCAAGACAACGGCAATAGCTTTGTCAACTGGGATTAGGCGTCCCCCATATATATCATCTGATTATTTCTATTCTTATCAAAGATGCAAGCGATTTTACACACGGTCTGTTGTATGACCGTGCGCGCTGCTGTTGTTGCCTCGTTTTGATTGTTAGTCTTGGTTTTGCTTTCACACTTATGATACCTTTTGTATAGGGTCGTCTACGAGGTTACGACTGATGGCGTTGTGGGCAAGGTTTATTCTTATGGGCGCAACGAAAATGCTTGCCGGCTCAGGATACGAGTGTTCGTTCACAGGCGCTTCCACGTCGTCTCCATGTCGACACCCCCCCTCCAAGCAATTTGCGAAGCTGAGAGATTGCTGTATAACACATAATTATAGCAGACCAGCTGCGTACGCTCAATAACATTGTTCTATTACATTGCTACAGCTATGACGTGTTGCTACTGATCCTTTCCTAATGACATATACCTTCCAGTACATACTTGCACATGCCTCGAAGATTTCCCAACTAGAAACAGTCATGGACCAAGAGCGTGTGGCAATACACAAGCAAACGCCTATCGGGTTTGTGTAGCCAGTCTTACAACATTTGGTAACAGGCGGGCCGTCGACGGAAGCGTAACATGCAACTGAACAGCCTGCTATTGGATGTCAGGTAGACACACTACTCTTTCTCACGTAGCAGGTTACATCACGGTAAAGGATGCCTCTATCCAGGTGGCCCTAATCTTGCGACGGCGAGGCCGAAGCAGTAGGCGGGACCGGTAGTAAGGGTAACGCACGTGATAGCACTAAAGGGCCGCTAGCGTCGTGTACAGCACCCTCGTACAGGTCTTCCCATGTCTCAACGACACAGCCGATCTGTCCGCTCCGGACGGTCGTTCGCGTTGATACTAGTAGGCTTCGTCCAATCTGCATCACAGTACCTGAAGACGCCATCGCAACCATTGGATGTTTGGTGGTTTCCCGTGTCTTGGTCCCATGATAGGCTTTCCGGTGCGACGCATCACCTGGAACTTCCAAGGTCAAGCTTGGTTCCCTCATCTGTGCGTGACGCTAACCCTTCACTCGGAGGATGCCAGCGTTTTAGCAGAGTTCCTAACCTGCATGTATCCAGGATTCTTCCGTTGCGAGATCGCTCGAGAGTCGGCATCGTACGGGTGGATGCGGCGGGAAGGGTCCAGACACAAGAAATCCCCGTTCTGACAAACACTGCCAGGCCCGCGGCCGACGGCGCTGAGATCGCCATAACGGTCGGCCTTGCTTGTGAAATCAACGAGGAAAACGGCAGGCCGCTTTGTGCGCGAGGCCAATGCAGGCCATGACCAAGCAGTCAAGCACGCAGCCACCGACGACGCCTCCAATCATGCAGGACTAAGCTTTTTCAACAGAAAGGCTTGGTAGGGCTTCGACTAGACACTTTTATTGACTGATTGTAGATTTCTGCAGCACGCTATGTACATGAAATACGAATTTGCTCAAGCGTAACAGCGCATCCAGCGCCCCTGAATCTGAAGTGACTCGAGTCCATTGGCTCGCAACGACACCATGCCCAGAAGAACAGGCTGTGTCGACTTCGTCAACCTCAACAACAGTAGGATGGGACACTTGTCGTTAGTCATCCTGGTCTTGTCGGGAGTTTCCTTCCTTCCGCTCCAGCCTGTACGACTAGCGGGGGAGCCTCGCTGCCGTACGCTGCTCGCACCCGTCAATCATTCTAATGTCGCGCATCTCCTACCTAGACTAAATTCAAGTAGTAACGTCTGCGTGACGTTGTTAATCTCCTTTGATACACCAATTGGCCTTGTTTACGATCAGGTCCATGATGAAATAAACAGACATGGGTGAAGCAAACAACACAAATCCTGCTCAATAATGACGATAGCTTCAGGGTATGGCAGGCTTGAGTGCTTCAGCTCGATACGCGTACCCGGAAAGACGACAGCTTCATCTCACGTACGCCGCCTGCACCACAGAGTAGGCTTCCCGAGTGAGTGGGTATCCAGATACCGCCGGTGGGAAGCAAGATGCCGTGCTGCATGTCTGTGTCTTGCATCTAACCGAGTCACTGATCTGCTGCGGCACGACTGTTAGGATCACAACAGGATACGATTGTAGTGAAACCCAAGAGATTGCATATAAGATTCTCATTTCTATACATTCAACGCCCAAGATACCCGTTACAGTTGTCTGTTCGACACATTCTCTCGTTTCTTCCACCACTGCCCCTCATTAATTTCTTAGACCCCAAGGTGTCTTGTGGCATAGATTCCGTCATGAAGCTTAGTTTCTACATTCCGTTTGTGGCCTCTCTAGCGCTCACTGTCGCTGTGAAAGACCGGCGTAAGTTATGATCTTCATTGCCTCTGGTCCTCTTGTTCTACTGAGCTCTTTCAGGATATCTATGCATCTACAATTAGCTAATACTCTTCTTAGCGAACTTTGCGAAGCATGTACGCCCTCGCCAGTACGCTCCTCCACCGTCAATCTCTCCTCCATTTCCCAGTCCCAGTAGCAGTGGTGATACCGTGTCTTCGACCTATTCCAGCGGCACCGGGATCTCCTTCTCGACAGGTGTTTCGTCATCTGTAGACGTGTCTTCCGTTCCTTCCTCCTCTCTGATAGTAAACACTACGGTCACGGAGTCGACAACATCCTTGGTGACCAGTGTCGTGGTCATTACAACCTTCATTCCCTCATCTGTGCCGTAAGTTTGTCCCAAGTGCCACTTTTGACCTTCACTGCTTACATGCCATCAAGTGACAACACACTCACCGAGTCCACTACGGATGCTACAGAAAGTAGTTGGGGCAGCGGTAGCAGTTCTCCTTCTGTGACCGTGCCTCTGTCTACTGGGCCTCTAACTTCCGGAACTACCTCCTACACATCTGTAGGCCCACCCGTCGACACTTCAGCCCCTTATGCCAACAGCTCTGGCTCAACTTCATCAATGTGGAGTTCAGGTACTGGCCCAGTGTCTTCGATGCCAAGCTTGACCTCCAGTGCTGGAAGCAACAGTACGGCGTCGGAAAGTTCTTCCATTCCAATCCCTTCGGCTACTTCTGAAGCCCCAAGTTCAGACATGACTGTCATTACCTCTAGCATCGTCAGTACCACTGCGATTACTGTGACTACCTCATCGCCGTCCAATGGTACAGCGACTGAGACTGAGACCGGCCCTGCCGAGACCTCTATCGCTAGCGATACAACTTCTTGGACTGATACGACGTCTGGCTACAGCCCGCCTGCCGAATCGACCAGCAGTGACGCCTTCGGGAGTTCCTCCTCCACCTTCGATACTACCACAATTCCGTCGGTTACCTTATCTTCTGTGGGGTCTTCATCACCGGTCGAAACTCCAACCTCTACTACAGATGACTCCGTGTCAACGAGTGTGGCTAGCACATCATCGATGAGCTCAGGGTCCTCTTCCTCGACTCACGTTTGGAGTAGAACTGTTACTTTCTCCTTCTCTTTGAGCTCTGCTACGGCTACGTCTTCAGAGGCGTCTTCTTCAGCTACACTCACAGGAACTGTCTCCGAATCATCTTCGGCAGTGGAGACCCCAAGTTCTTCTGAAGAGACTTCGTCTGCTAGTAGCGCGTCCAGTGTGGAGTCTACCTCAGACTCTTTCACAGCAACTTCTTCGGAAAGCAGCAGCGTTCCTGCTAGTGCTACCGAGAGCAGTGCTACTGAGACGAGTGCCGCGGAGACAACTGCTACTGAAACAAGTCCTTCTGAGACCAGTGCCTCTGAGACCGAGTCGGCCTCATCGATGCCGTCAGGGTCATGGACCATCTCATTCAGCTCTTTCGAGACTTCATCTACACCGACAGCTTCAGAGTCTTCATCTTATGCGCCATCAACAGGTACCATCTCAAGTGAGACTGCATCTTCAACAGCATCGGATGTATCGAGCAGCTCGGCCATTCCTACAGAAGAGTCCTCAGCTTCGAAACCGGTTTTGCCGAGCACCACTCTGGTTTTGCCTTCTGAGACATCGTCATCGCCCTCGGGGACATCAGACAGTGAGTCAGTTACATCTTCTGAGACTCCAGTACCATCTGGTAGCTCTTCTAGCTCAGAGATGGCGACGACAGGAACAGAGTCCATTCCGGTTACATCTTCCGCTGCCAGCGAGACCGGCACTGAGACCCCTTCGGCCAGCTCCGAAGCTCCTTCGTCGTCCAGCCCTGGAGAAACCTCCGCCATACCATCCGCCTCCGAGAGCTCACCTTTACCCTCCGCTACAAGCGAATCCAGCACTGATATCTCCTCAACCTCAAGCGCCGGCATTCCTGTTTCGACTTCCATCACACCATCCCCTTCTGAGAGCTTGCCCATGCCCTCTGTTACAAGCGAATCTAGCTCTGAAGCTCCCTCATCCAGCCCTGCTGAGACTTCCGCTACGCCGTCCGCTTCTGAAAGCTCGCCCATACCCTCAGTTACGAGCGAATCCAGCACCGATGTCATCCCAACATCAAGCGCCGGAATCCCCGTCGAGACTACCACCACACCATCTGCATCTGAGAGCTCGCCAATAACCTCTGTCACAAGCGAGTCCAGCTCCGGAGCGCCCGCGTCATCCAGCCCTGCTGAGACTTCTGCAACATCACCCGCTTCTGAGAGCTCACCCATACCTTCCGCGACAAGTGAATCCAGCACCAATGTCACACCAACATCAAGCGCAGGCATCCCTGTGGAGACCTCTGAGTCCTCTTGGATCACAATACCCAGCAGCCTCCTACCCACAACCGGCCTCACCACAAACACCGATGCAACCGCCACCTCATTCCCCATCGACACATCGACCCCCATCCCCACCAATACCTCAGCCCCTTCTTCAGAATACACATACTACAGCCCCAGCTTACCCGCCACCGACACCAACACCGACGCCACAGCTACTTCCTTCCCCGTCGACACTTCCACCGCACCCACCGACACCTCATCTACGGCTGCCAGCTTGTCCAGTGTAAGCTACTCACACTTCACACCCAGCTCTCTCGTTACTTCGGCCACAAACACAGATGCGACGTTTTCTTCGTGGCCTGTGGACTCAAGCACAAACGCTATGCCGACACCCACACCAACGACGTTTGAGACGAGCGCAAGTGCGAGTAAGAGTGGGTATGCACCACCACCTGCTGCGTCTACGTATGATGTTTACGATACTACGGGAAGGAAGGGTGGTGTAAGTTCTTAGATCCTATCTGTTACTATCTGAGCTTTACTAACAAATATATAGATGGGCATGTGGTTCTTGTGAGTAAAACTAAAACAGGCAAGGAGATACCGTGTATGATGGGCGTTTTCCCCTGTCGACACAGGGTTTGCACGTAGGATGGAGAGAGACGATGATATGAGACATGGGAAAGAAAGATACGGATCACTTCGCTTCACTTCACTTCTTAGCTAGTATTTTCTTTCTCTTCTACACTCTCCTTGAGATGAAAACCTTTGATACAAATAGGTGGATGAATGGATGAATGGAATGGAAAGATGTATACAATATTCCCCTTGCTCTGCTTCTCCCTCCTTCTCCTCGCTCAATTACACAACCCCACCATTCTACCCATTCATCTGTAAACACCCAAGTAGGTTATGCAACCATGGCAATCGTGCTTGGGATGCAAAAATGGGTGACGTGACAAGGAAATGCTTTTCAAGGACCAGAACTCCAAGCTTTTTACTTTTTCTACATGTGTGTTTTACTTCTTGGTGATGGTGCCAGTGCTTCTGAAAGACATTTAGGCGACTGATGAGTATGCCTGATATGCATGCACAACCACAGTTACAGCGCAGCCCGGCGCGCTTATCTTATTTGGGATATGTGTGAAGTTTGCTTTTTGGCCAGACATGTTTTTTTGTTGACGTGGCAGGGAGTAATGGGCAAGCGAGGTAATCGAGGTAAAGATAGAGCGAACAAGCACGGAGGGCAGCGATTTCAGAGGTAACAACGGCCCTCCAAGGATCGGGTCGCTCATATGCATAGGTATTGCTAGAGATTGTGAAGAGCTATCTCTGTTTCCAATACGCCAAGCATCACGCAACAAAAACCATAGTATTGAAGTTCTGAAAATCTTTCATTCATTCATGCAATGCATCGGCCGTAAAACTCAGCCATTGTCTTTCCTTCCCCCAAACCGCTATGGTTTATCCTCCTTTGTCATTATACATCATAACATTTCCCACGCACGTCCTGGTGACGTCTTTACATCTTGCTCTTAGCCTCGCCCTTGACCTCAGCCGCCTTTCCCTTGGCCTCGCCCGCAACCTCATTCGCCTTTCCCTTGACTTGGCCTGCCATCTCGTTTGCCTGGCCCTTTGCTTGGCCGGTGGTCTCGGGTGTGACTTCCTTGACTTTCTCGGCGACTTGTTCTGCAGTGACATGTTGAATTAGCCCTTGTTCATTCATCATTGTGAGAGTGATGCCTGCGAACCGTATGATGTCGTCATGTTCTCGGCTGTGCGAGCGAAGAGGAGCATCAGGAATGGTGGTTGGAATAGGGGAAAGGTTTTACGTACCGCCCTTCTCAATGCCCTTTACTGCGGCGCCTGAGATTGTCTTGTCGACTGCCTTTGCGGCATCCTTGATGACTTCTACTGGGCTCTTGCGGGCAACGGGTGTGGTGCTGAAAAGACGAGCCTGGCGGGCAATCTGTTGGCGGAACATGTTGATTGGATTGTTTGAGGATGTGGTTGTGTAGGTAGTGTGGTTGTGTGGGATTCTGGTTTTGGAGATCGAGGAGATGGGCAATTGGTCAATTGAGATGAAATTTGTATTTCGAGAAGCTGGTGCGAAAGACGGCTTTAAAGCATATGTGGGAGTTGGACAGAGCTGCTTGTGCAAGAGCTGTACTATGACGTAGCTATGATCAGCCATGTCGACTGGTTCCGTTAGCCGTGGCCCGAGCTCCTGCGCGTTGCATAATGCATTATCCAACATCACAATTTGCAAATTAGCACGCAGCGAAGAAGATGAAACTCTGCATGTGCGGTTTGTCAAGGTAAAAATGTATTTGACATTACTTCATAGGTTTAGCTCTTTCTCGGAGCGACATCCATCTAGTACAGCGCCTTCTGCCACCACGCACACCGGGCGTTCGCGTTGGAATCACGGATTTCCTCGATACCCTTGATACCTAGCTCAATAACCCTTGCGTTTGCGCCGTACATGTTAAATTGCTTCACGCCCTTTGCATCTGGAACGCCCGTCTCCGCAAAGCTCGCGATGAAGTTCTGCAGAGCAACGGCAACCGTCACATTAGCTACTTGCTCAGTAGCCGCTCCACCCGGAAAGTAAGTGTAAGGAACATCCATGCCATGAATAGCCGGAGGCACGGAAAAGAGGTAAGAGTAGGTGGAGTTTCCATAGGCTCTGGAGAGGTATTCGGTGTTGCAAGTAAAGACCCCCTCAGCGACGATGAGGCTGCCGCGCTCGAATTGACTTTTGTAGCCGTAGGTGCCATCGAAAACCGGAGGGTACAGGGTCTTGGTGATGTAGTTGAGGGATTTTTTCGGAATGTTGACAAATGAGCCACTGAGCTGGGATTCCAATACGGTGTCGTTCGGAATAAAGGCTGGCGTGAAGAGAGCTCCTTCATTGGCGTTGTGGCCGACCATGACTCGGACGTCCTGGTCGAAGCGGCCCTGAGCGAGGAGTCGCCCAGGTTGGAGCGGAACAAATAGACCATCTACAACTGGACCATACGAGAACCCACCATATTGGGAATCAAAGATGACCTGCTGGGCACTGGCGCGAATAATGTCCTCGGAAGGCAAAGCGCGCAGCTCAGCAAGGGATGTAGCGTTGGCAAGCTTGAGAAACTTCTGGTAAGTGTCCTCTTGCGCATCTGCAGAGTTCATAGGCTGCCATCCAGGACTTTGAGGTACAGCTTGCTGGAAAGGCGCTGAGCCGTTGGCACCTCCGTAGGCTGTGATTTGGTGCATGATTGAGCCACCTCCAGCGCTTTCACCAAACACCGTGACCTTTTGATAGGGTCAGTTTATGCTACACACTGCTTTTCATAAACGTATCAACTCACTCGGTTCTTGTCGCCACCGAAAAGGTGAATGTTCTCTTGGACCCATTCAAGCGCAAATCGCTGGTCATACAACCCCAGATTGGAGACACCGCCTTCTTCATTGTAGGAAGGGCCGCTGGACCAACCCATTGCACCTAGGCGGTAGTTCAATGCAACGTAGATGATGTCGCCATTAGTCGAGTTGCCGGATGCAGCAAGCAGACCGGCGGGGTTGTTGTTCTTTGATCCACCTGTATATCCGCCTCCGTAGATCCATACAAGTACGGGAGCTCCATAACCTTTGCCAACGTTGTCTAGAACGTCTTCAGGCACGAACACATCAAGAAATAGACAATCTTCGGATTCGCGAGGATCAGGTGTAGGAATAGGACTGCTGGCATTGGCTCCTGGCGCTGTGTAGGTCATGTTGAGAGGAGGTACACCTAAGACTTCTCTAGCCAAAGCCCTTGCCGCAACAGCGTTCCATGCAGGGTTAGCCTGTGGGCATATTCTTGAGGTTTGTCAGTATAGCCGCTTTGAGCCTTCTTAGTTGGATGCTGTACCTTGCGGCATCACCATTGTTAACAGCCGATCTGTTCACCGCCGGTGCTTGAGGGGGTGCAAATCTCAAGTTTCCGACAGGCGGCGCTGCATACCGTATGTTGGAGAAGTTGTAAAAGTTACCGGAATCCTGGTTCGGGTGTTATGATGCGAATGTGAGCTATTTTGGGATGGAAAACAAACATTGAAACCCGAAGCCCGATAAATCTCATAGCCAAGGTCGATAGTAGGCAACGATGAGTTCTGTGCGTATACCGCGCCCATTAGGGCTGCTGCTGTTGCGAGGTAAAGCATATTCGTGGACGGGATGCAGAGGAAAGCAATGCAGTGCAGTTGCAGTGGTAAAAGCGAGGACTTCCAAGTCTAAGTATCCCAGGCGTCAAACAGAAAGCGGCCTACCCTGGTACAAAAAAGACAAGCACGACAGCCCGTCTGGCAGGTATGGGTCAAGCATCCATTTATACACTCCTTTCATCTTGCCTAGTCTAATGGCGCAACGATTCGTAATGCTGCCGGTTGGAAGCAATAGCCGCAAAAGCCTCACTCGCCCTAATGCAAACCTCCACTGCAGTAGCTGTCGACAGAGTTAAGCTTGTCTGGATGTGGTAATGCCCGAGTCGTGTGTGAGGTATTACATGGCGTGCGTCATTCTGGGGGCGGGAACCTCGGCGAGCTAGCCGCCTACTTAACACCGATTCGTCCGCCTTAGGACGGGTGTACTAGCCAGTTCTCTCCAAGTACATCTTGGGCCGGATGTGTAGGCATCGATGATTGCCCCAATATTGACGGTGAGTTCGTAATTGACACTTGACATTTGACATTTGAAACACGGTCCACCTTCCGCTAGGTTGGGAAGGAACATTGGAAAGGGTCCTGCACTTCGCGTGGTGCTGCAAAAGGCAAGAGCAGATTGACGATCTGACCGGGATATTCCCCGGCGTATCCCCGCAACCCGATCGAAATAAGGCAGAGAGCCGAGGCATCTCGTCTGTTGCTTGGCGTCTCTAACCGATGTCTTTCCAATCATCTATGTCCACGGCGCTTGCAGGACAGGAAGCTTCGGTACTCCGCACCAAACTCGCCGCCGCCATCATCTTCAGGCAATTTTCGATAACTTGCTCTATGTGTTTGGCCTGGGCCCGGATATACCACCTTCTTCCCAACAACCAGGCAACGCCCACAGCCACAAACGGTCCCAATCTGCACTAGAGACGGTGTCCTCGCTACCCATATTCTTGGTGCCGGCCCTATTTAGTCTCGAACGTTGCCGGACGCCCGTGTACCTTACGCGAGCCGAGGTTCTTGTAAACATCATTCACATTTACTCCCTTGTCGTTCATACACATCGGGCATCTAGCTGTGAACCTCAAGATGCTCTTGACTCTCGCTTCTCACCTAGATAACCCTTTTTACACCCTGCACAAATGCAAGGCCACCGGCATACCTGCACTGTACGGGCGTATACACACTAGACCATGGGTGACGACGACCAGCCAAAATTTACGGATGGACGGATAATGCTATACGAGACGGCTTGCGTATGAAAAGTTGTGGCGTTTTAGACGTCCTAGTCCTGATGCCTGTAGAAGTGGCCCAGCGATTGAGAAGAGTAAAATCGAGTTGGACATCGAGTGAAGCATTGGTAACGTTAACCCCTAGTTTGTGTTGATCACAATGAATGACCGGGAAATACATCGGGGCATAGTTTAGCGTCTTTGACCATGGTACGCTGTACGGGCTAAGCGGTGTTGATCAAAGGCTTGAACTCAACGTCGTAATAGCAGCTTAAGCCGTTAGCTGGTATACAGCCCAAGACCACCAACCCCTGCTTTCAATTTGGAATGCTTCCATGCAGCGTCCGGTTTTGGCCCCTAGACTCTTTCACGTTAGTGAGGTGATTGCCACGACAAGTGTTACTTCCGACATGTGAGTCAAGACTCTCGGACCGGTCCTTCCTGGTCCTCATTTGTTACCTCCGTGAAAAGTTCCTTAGGAAGTTTCATTACGAAAGTCCCGCGGCAGGTGCTTCTAGGCAGTCCACTGGGGGACTACTGCTAGGTCCGATCCTGGTACAAGGGGTGCAGTGGCGGTGCACGGTTCTATGGAAGTCATCTTGATTTGGTAGGTAGAAGCTAACAAACTGTCGCCCTCCTGCCGTTTCATTGAATAGTAAAGAGATGGGATTGAGGCGCCAATGAGTGGGTACTCGATACCCCACATCAGTAAGATGGGTGGTTTGCACTACCAGGTCGCTTGGAGATTGGACAGCGGGAGCTGTGTTACCCGGCTGTGTGAATCTGTAGTTATGAAGCGGATAATAATGAACAGAACTTTGATGAATAAAATTGTGACGCCTCCACCTGACGTCGTCGCAATCTTGCGTATGGGAGCACGGGTGGAGCGACTTGTCGGGTCGATCGTTCCCAGATCGTGGAAATCGCCCGAGACGCCAGCCTGTGCTCGAACAGCCCCGCCCGGACCCCTTTATCATTCTTCGTACTCGTTGCACTTCGCTTTCCATCCCGACAGCGACCACATCTAAATCATGCGGAATCTGTGCCTATTACAGGAAGGTGCTCGTCACCAAGACCTACCCCTTCGTCCCTTGTCCTTGCTCTTGGAGCGCTGTAATTTCACAGCGTGGCTGTTCCGATGAGTCTCGTGCACGTTGCTGAACCACTCAGTCTCCACGTCTCCAGCTTCTCCTCCGTCAAAAGTACAGGGTTAGTCGATCTTTGAGTACTTTCAATTCTAGTCTGAATCCGATAATATCCTATCGTAGTACGCGTATGCACAGCTGCACATGGTAAGCACTTTCAAGTTCTTTGGTCATCTTTTCTCCATGGCGACAATCTCCATATCATTTCCTGGGTGTTTTTCTCAATCCCTTCTTTCGTTGATATGACACACATTTCAGGGTCTTTCTCGTGTGGGCCCTTGGCGTTGCATATTCTATGAATATCCAGCGCCTTCGCCTCTGAGATTGTTTCGCAGATGCGTTTTTGGAGAGCAATTGCCGATCAAGCAACCTATGTCGGATTTGACATTGAAACGTCTTAGACATGCGGCGCGTTCTCGCTATGCGCTTTGAGAGAAGATGTGGCACGAAATAAGAGGAGTCCGGATTTAAGGGCTGGTCATGGTGTTGGAAGGAAAAGGTCAGCGTCGACTGAAGTTGAGATACTCCCAGCAACAAGCTTTGTTACCCTCGGCCAGACTCTAGTTTCTTCGAATCCCTTTATTGTGTCATCCTGCTGAAAGACTACAATACTGTTGGCGGCTGTCAGTGCAATTTTGTCCTTTCTCATGCGAGGCACTGGGGGATCGACTTCACTAACCCAAATATGGCCGTATTGCATTGTTTGACGCGGTACATGTCCTACTGCTATTGCTCAGGTGTTTGTGGTTTGGTGCCTGAAGCACCTTGGAGTTTCAGTTCCTATTCCCTGCTCCATCCACAAGTCGTGTTTCACCCCACATACTGTCATTTAAGGCAGTCGCAACCACAAATCTTCAAGTCCAGCTAACGACTCCATTCACAGTCGTTGTGACTGCCCAAACGGCGCCGGCGCTAGGCCCAAGATGACGCTAGCACTCTTCCATCAGGTACGGGTAACACAGCAGCTATAGCAACGTCGTGGACATCCCTTGCTACCTTTCCTCTGCACCCCACAAACACAGTCTCTACCTGTTGCTTTAGCTCGTAGCTCCTCAAGTCGGCCAGTTCGATTGTTCTTTCCTTCTCCAGCTGCAGGCAGTCAGCCACTCATTAGTCCAATCAACCTGCGCTGCGCTGCACACACTGTGCTTCGGCCAACCACATACAAGCAGCACATTTAATTGTTCATATACACCAGCATTCAATAGCGCTTGCTTCATTGTCGCCATGAAGTCGATTGTATTGGTGAGCGCTCTGGCAGCTGCCGGCCTTCTTGTGGGCTCCGCAAGCGGACACCCTCTCAGTGAGTAGCAATCACCAATCCGGATGACCAATTGGCTGATAGAGTACAGACCACAAGCGCAAGCTCGTCACAGAGATTCTTTATGTTACCGAGACAGTTGCCGACGTTTACGTCTATGTCGACGGTGATGGCATGCCCTACTCGACCTCGACTTCGGAGAGGGCCACTAGTGCGACTATCGCTTCAGTGATTCCCTCGACTACAGTGGAGACTGTAGTATCTACACCTGATGTATCAGCGGCTCCTCCATCAACTCCCTCGTCGACTTGGGTCGCTACACCAGAACCCACCCCCTCGCCAACGTCGTTAGCGCAGCCCAGTCCCCCGCCTGTGACATCTTCAGCGGAGCCTACTGTAGTAGGTGCCCAAGATACTTCAACTACGCCGATTCCGACCTCTACCCCAGCAGAGACTTCCTCCGTAGTACCCGCTCCGTCCCAGGAACCCAAGCCCTCGCCGCCTGCTGATGTTCCTGCCAACACTGCCGACGCTGGTACCCTGCCTTTGGGTATCACTTGGGATGCATACGATGGCTCTGCCAAATGCTTGTCCGGCGCCGATGTTGCTAGTCAGTTCAGTAAAATGAAGGACTACAAGGTTGTGCGCATATATGGCATGGATTGCAACCAAATCGCTAATGCTATTCAAAATGCTCTCAAAAACGGACAAAAGATCATGGGCGGTGTATACCTGGACCCCACAGGTGGCGGCGAAGATCTAACCCAGGTCATTCAGGCTTACAAGAGTGCCATTGACAAGTACGCTGGCGGCAACTGGGACATCATTCAACTCTTTTCAGTAGAGAACGAGCGCGTAAACGAGCAGAGGATGTCGGCTGAACAGGTCGTCCAAGCAATTGGTAGCGCCCGTAGTCAGCTCCGAGGTCTCGGTTACAAAGGCCCTGTCGGTGCTGTCGAGACTGCCCCAGCCCTGATCGCCAACCCTTCCATCTGCAACGCTGCCGACGTTGTCACAGCCAACATCCACGCCTTCTTCGACAGCAACACAAAACCCCAGGACGCCGGAAAATTTGTCAAGGGTCAGGTTCAGCGCGTCAAGGATGCCTGCAACAACAAGCGCGTCGTCGTGACGGAATCTGGCTGGCCTCATCAGGGCAACGCAAATGGTGCGGCTGTGCCATCTTCCGAGAATCAACGTGCAGCTCTTGCTTCGATCCGTCAAGCCTTCAGCGGTGACTTGTTCTTCTTCAGCGCCTTCGACTCGGCCTGGAAGTCGGACACTGCGTTTACCTTCAACGCTGAGCGTTTCTGGGGCATGATCAGGTAAGCTCAGGATTAGCTCATCCTTCCACCGGTATCTCTTGACATACACGTGTATGCTCATCACTTCTGCCATTTTTCTTCATGACGTAGCAGCGGCCTAGTGTCCTGTGCGGAAGACCATTTCTGGCAGTATCATCGGAGGATATGAGAGAGCATGTGTTATGTAGTAACGATACCCAATCTCAGAACTAATGAAATGACATGTTCTTGCAAACCAAAATCTTTGTTACTCATGTGTACTCTATGCAATTGAATCGACTTTTGCCGTCCTACAATTCTCTTCTCGCTCATTTAGAACCCCAACTCCCTACCACTCTCCTCAATCGCCTTGACAAGCCCATCCAACGTGTCCACCAACGTCCCCCCATTAACCACGACCCTAAAAAACTTTCCCCTCTCCCCCGGCGCAAAATCAACCATGAAACCCCTCCTCACTAACCTCTGCGCAATCTCCGTCGTCGTCCTACTATTCCCCTTCTTGTCCTCTCCCAATACGCCACCCTTTGCATAATGAAAACACACCTGCAAACAAGGCAGCGGCTCAGGGCTAATAGCCACAAGATTCTCACTTTCATTGACTTTGCTGAGTAGGTACTCCGCACGTTCATACGCTGTCTCGACGAGGCGAGCAAAGTGCTCTGGGCCGTAGTATTTCAGCGCGAGAAACAATTTCAAACTATCGGCGCGCCGACCACATTGCGGGGATAAGTCACCGAGGTCGTAGATATCCTGCGCGTCTACGGAGTCTGTGGAGCCGTGGAAGAGGTAACCCGCGGGTAACGTGAGTGCTTTGTGCATTTGGTTCATATCGCGCGCGAGTAGGAACGAACACGTCATTGGCGTGCCGAGCATCTTGTGCGGGTTGATGGTTATGCTGTCAGCTAACTCTGCGCCCGCGAGACGGGAAGCGCGGTATTTAGGGGAGAAGACTACGGAACCGCCCCACGAGCCATCAATGTGGAACCAAATATTTTCCTTCTTGCAGATATCCGCGAGAGCAGAAAACGGGTCAAAAGAGCCGTGGACGGTGGTTCCAGCTGTTGCGTTGAGAAAAAGTGGTGTTTCGCCTCTCTGTCTGCTCTCGTTGATTTTCTGCTCGAGAGCGGATGGAATCATACAGCCGTTCTCGTCGACGGGCACGGTGATTACGTTTTTGGTTCCGAAGCCGAGGATGTTTGCGGCTTTTTCGATGGAGTAATGGCCGTGTTCTGAGGTGAAGAGGGTAAAGTTGAAGGAGGCGTTACCTTCGGTTTTTGTGAGGGGGTAGAGGGTGTTGCGGGCGAGGGTTATGGCGGTGCTGTTGCTGGCGCTGCCGCCGGGGAGGGTGAGTCCGCCGGATGTGGAAGAGGGGAGGGAGAAGAGAGAGGCCAGGTAGGTTGTTGTGCGCTTTTCGATGAGCGTTAGGACAGGAGAGACGGTGTAGACGTGTGCCTTGGTTGGGAGTTAGTTTGGGCATGAGATGGGGGGGATAGAACGTACATTGGTATTCAATACCGCGAGTAACAATTCACTAACCACACCCACTGCATTTGTGCTCGCATATAGCTTATCGAGAAACCCTTGATCCCATGTGTTTACGCTGTATTTTAGTATGCTTGAGACTAGTTTTACAAGTCCGTCTTTTCCCTGGCCTTCTCCTCCTTCTTTCTCTGTTCCAGCATTGTCGATTTCCAATTCTTGGGCTAGAAGAGACTCCAGCTTTTTGGGTGGGTGGTGCTCTACTAGAACGGTCCTGGGACCGCCGCCGGAGATCTGGAGACCATGACCGGTGGGTTTGGTGAGGGCGTCTTCGTCGGCGGCACGGATGAAGGGAATGATGAGATTTTGTATTGCGGTGAGGAGCTACGGGTTAGAGAAGCTGGTCAGTTGGAGGTAATTGAGAGAGTATAGACCTTGAAATGGCCAGAACCTGAATTTCTCGAGGATGGATAAACAACATGAGTATGCTCTGATGAGGTTGTACCAGGTGATGTGATTCCATCGGAATGTTCGGAATCGAAATAGAGAGTTTTCCTTCCGAGGGACTTACATCCTGAACTTCATCGGCGCGGTTAAGTGGGCTTTGTGTGACCGTTTCCGAAGCCATGGCTACTGATAAGACGTCTGCAAAAAACAATAGTGGTACAAGATATTATATATCGCCACCAGCCAAGTGAACTGTGGTGTAAGTTTGCAGAAAGCAATCACGCAAACTTAAGCAAAAAAGAACAAAGATCGGCGAGAGGGCGCTCGGCGTTAGCGCCGACATGTTAGTAAATGACGAGCATAAAAATCACAGAGTCATAGATGCTTCCGAAAAGACTTTCACTTGTGCTAGGTAACCGAACATGCAGAAATCCTTCGATACAATTATGCAGCTGAACGAACGAAAAAGGTATCTAGAATGCGTCAAATCTGAACATTGCGCATCACGAACCCATACCCACATGAACCCCTGCTCGTAAAACGCCGTTTTTACTATGCCTGATATCTAAATTGCCATGACAAAAGCGCACTACATCTCTTACATTTCATGCATCAACCTGCTATTGCGCTACAAGACTCCTGGGTGTCTCACCGCTTCCATTCGTTGGGTTGTTTCCCTTTTTGGGCTTCTTTCCGTCTTTTGCCTGTGCGGCTTTGGCGGCTGCAAACTTTTGCCGAGCGAGCTCAATGGCGCTCATATGTCTCGAGGCTCTATGGGTCCGCGCAGGTGCTGCTACATCACTCTGACTTTCGTCAGGGAAAGACTGGAAGACCTCATTGCCGGCAGTGGTCCGCGCTTGGGCGACCCAGTCGTTGCGTCTGCGTTTGTAGAGGTCCATTTGCCAATTCTTCCATACTTTACGGCCTACTTGGGATTCTCGCAACGAGTTTTCGTTCTCGGCAAGTTCTTCCGCGATGCGCTCACGGATAAATGCAAGGCCAACTGTGCCATACCATATAGCATCTACAACGTGAGACGCCTTTGGGTCTAGCGCAAGCTCACCAATTTTACCGTAGAATTGCTGAATCATCTTTCGACGGAAGATGACTGTAGCATTCCTGGAGACTAGAGCTGCTTGCAGCGTGCGTGATGCTGTTCCATCGCGAGCCAGCTGAATGGAAAGTTCAGGCGAGAGGTTGGCGAGAGAGTCGAAGACGAGTTGACCTAGAGGTCCGTCTACTGTCATCATGGTTTGTGCCAACAGTGAGCCGTGCACCTTTTCATTCGACTCGCCATGCCTAGCACGTGGTTTCCCGTCATCTTCGTTAAGTTTGAGAATACGGGTGACCTCGAATCCGTGGGGTCCGGCATAAGCAGTCTCAAGTTGGGCCTTGATGGGCGAGCAGTCTACCTCTCGGGCCACGCACCTCTCAATGAGCGTCTTGATAGGCGCAGTTCGGTTGCGTTCTACCAGACTAGGAATCTGGTCCACAATCTGACGCATGGCCTCTTCCAGGTCATCCTTGCCGAGTCGTTCGAGAATTTTGCCAACCACGTAGCCAGCAATCTCGTTGCGTGCCAGGCTGCCCATGCGCTCCTTGAAGAATTCCCCATAGATTTGCTTGAAGAGCTTTCCGGGGGCGTGCTCGATGATGGTTTCCAGAAGATGGGAGCCTACAGAGTCGTAAACGAGCCCGTTGATGAGAATGGCACTCTCTGTTCCTTCGGCGATGGGGTTGTCGGGCAGCAATCGGTGGATGATTGACTTTTCGTCTTTGGCCCGAGACTTGCCGAAATGCGACAACTCAAGCTTGAGCAGCAATTGCAGCGTTGGGCCACCAAGTGGGTGTATGGCGAGGGAACGGAGGTAGTGGGCTTCTATGCCGGAAACACTGTCGCTGATGACCTTTTCTAGAGCTTCGAGGAAGGATTCCGGGACGACTCGCTTCTCCAGGATGCGCTCATCTCCTGCGCCGGAAATGGTGACTTTTTCCTTTTTCTTGCTCTGAGTGACTGACTTACCCTGCTTCTCTAGCGGCTCGCCAGACAAGATTACCAGCAATACACGGAGGACATGGGATGCATACTTTTCCGTCATCAAAAAGCCAATGTTGCCCTCAAGCTCGCCCAGTGTGTATAGAAACAGGTTTTCCATGGACACGATGATCTCATCGGGGTCAGAAGCTGGCGGGGTGTTCAGCGCTTCGGTCTTGACACTAGCATTTTCTTGGCTGACGGCGGGAGCGGCTTGTATGAAGAGGGTCTCACAGCAGTGCGAGGCGAAGCGGTTCTGGACGAGGTTGAGGAAGCTGCGAAGGGTTAGCGTGAGCGAAGTGGAAAGAGCTACGGGTGCACATACTGTCCACTGAACTTTTGGAATAGGCTCTTCAGCTGATCTTCTGAGGCTAGTAGAATCAGCCGCTCGAGTAAGCGGGATGTCTGGCTGGTGGCCATTTTGAGTTCCTTGCCCTCTGCTTCCTTCCACACACTGGCAAGGAAGATTCGGCGGTCCTCTGGGCTCTCAAACTGGTTCAGTTCAAGCATCTCGTCGGCCTTTTTGAAGTACTCCTGCTCTTGCTCGTCGAGCATACCGTAGAAAGGCGCAGCATCTTGGCGGGGAGCATCGTTGGCGACATGTTGCAGCGGATTTTCGGCCTGTACATGCTCAATATCATCTTTTCTAAAGCGTTTCGAGGCAGATTCGTCGTCGTGGTCCCGCTTGCGCTTCTTCTGGTCCTCGCGGCGGCCGCGCTTCTTGTGTTCCTTTGGCATTTGCGGCGATGACGGAGGCGGCGCACGACAAAAGTTTCAAGAGGGTCGGCTACCGGCGGCAGCGAGGAAGATGGGGAGCTTCTGGACAGTTTAGGCTGGGGCAGGTTTTTAAATACGTTCGCGGGAATAGAAGCGCCTAGGCCAGCTCAGGGCGGTACAGAAGTCTACGGGGGCGTGCGACACGGCAGGTAGACGTGCATTAAGGATGTTTTTCAAGAGTGGTCCGATGAGGCAAGAGCAGCGCTCGCTAGGGAAAAGATGCGCACGGATAGAGATGCAGCAGATGGCATCGGAGATCGAGCGGACCCTAGATCGAGCTGCAAGCTACGAGGGCACGCCACCAGATGCGTGCTAATGCGTCGGGCATATCGATTGCAGCCCCTCGTACGAGATGTCAGATGATTCCTGCGTGTTCGACATAGACGAGTAATTGCAAATGGACGACCAGCAGGCTCGCGTTGCAGACTATCTCGACGACAAGCTGCAGACGCAGCGCGACCTCGACTCGCTCGACGACCTATTGGCCACCATCACCGCCCAACACGGTGTCTTGAAGCAACAGCTAGACGACGCCCAACGAGATCTTCACGATGCGAAACACGCTTCCCACAAACACCACGCCGACCGTACTCAACAGGCCGACCGCTTCTGGCAGGACCAGACCGACATTGACCGCCGCCTGCTGGTTCTGACGGCCTCAGACACCAGTGACAAAGCCGTTGAGAACTTCCAAGAGGTACTTGACACGCTACAACGCCTGGATGTCGCCAATGAGTATGTCGAATTGCTCGCCCAGGTAGACGCACTCGACAAGCAGGCCCACGCCCAGCTCCAGACGTCCAATGAAGCCGCCCTTGAGCCATACAAGCAGCTGCGCGCCTTGCACACCCGTCTGCTCAACCTGCAGGACGACGCAGAAGGTGCGGGTATCCATCTGCTCAACCACATCGGCAACATCACCCAGGCCCTGCGTACCACCATCCTCGATGCCTTCTCAGCAGACCTCGACCGCACGCTCAAAAAGATACATTGGCCCACACCAAAGGCCACCATACCCGACCACCTGCGCGAGGAATGGGAAACTGCCGTCATCAAGCTGCTCGACCTGCAGCTGCCGGAGCTCGACGGCATGAGCTACGCCAGCCGTCCCGGGGACAAGGTTACGCTGCCTCCCGTGCTCTTTCCCGTGCAGATCCTAGTACAGCCGCTTGAGATGCGGTTCCGCTATCATTTTGACGGCGACAAGCCCACGAACCGCATTGATAGGCCCGAGTACTTCCTCTCACACATTACCACGCTTTTGAACGACTACAGCGCATTCGTCACCGACCATGTGCAACCCATCCTGTTCCGCCACTTCCGAGGCACCCACCTTGCGCTTAACCCCGTCTATATCGATGCAATGTCCGCTTTTATCACGGCCCTACTACCCATGTTGCGCGCCAAGATCAGCTCGCTATTACCCAAAGTCGCCGGTCAGCCCCAGCTGCTCAGCCATCTTATGCATGAGCTTATGAGCTTTGACCTGACCATCAAAGACACCTGGGGCTACGACGGCGGCTATGGCGTCGACGGATGGAAAGGCCTGTCATGGGAGTTTCTCGTCCAGGGCGATTGGTTTGGACGATGGCTGCAGGTGGAAAAAGACTGTACGATTTCTCATAGTCATACTAAAATACCGTCTAGGTCTACTAACACCCACCAGTTGCACTGTCTCGCTATCAAAATATCGTCGAAGCTCCCGACTTTGGTGATCTTGACTACGACAGCGTAGATCCAAAAGCCACAAAACCCACCAAGGGAGCGATCCGCGTCAATGACCTGCTTGAAACCATAACCGGTACTTCCCTCGCCTACCCCTCCTTGCACAATACGCTAATCACCACTGCATTGTAGATCGATACAGACCCCTGGCTTCCTTCAGCCAGAAGCTGACCTTTTTGATAGACATTCAGATTGCCATCTTTGACAAACTCCATGAGAGACTGCAGAGCAATCTGGAAGCGTATCTGTCATTGACCACGTCACTGGGTCGTGCTATGGGCGGTGTGACCAAGGGGGAACAGGAAAAGCTGCTTGGCGTCCAAGGACTTGAGCGCCTTTGCAAGACGTACGGCAGTGCTGACTATCTTGAACGGGCAATGCGTGACTGGAGCGACGATGTGGTAGGCTGTCCACTCGCACCACTTCTGTGACACGTACAGTGGCTAACCGTGTTTGACCTAGTTCTTCCTTGACATTTGGGAGGGCTTACAAGATCGTGCTCGTGGCAAGACTAGTAATATTGGTACTATGAGCGTTGCCGACGTCGCCGAACGCACGTCAAGAAACGTCGAGAACGACGATGGCGGCTCGCTCTTTGACGAAACGGCATCGTGGTACGCACGCCTCCGTGACCGCAGTGAAGGCATCATCATCGATACGTTGAACAGCAACGTCCGTGAGGCCTTGCGCCCATATCGGAACATGTACGTGACCCAATCCGTCACCTGCACCGTTAGCCCATGTACTGACCATTTCTTTTTTTAACAGCAACCCGTGGGCCACTCTAAGCGGCCCTTCCGCTTCAGCCTCCAACGCCACCGACCTGTCCCCCACAGCAGAGATTGACCCACTACTTACTTACCTCCGTACCACGCTATCCTTTCTCTCCCGCGCACTTGCAACTGCGCCACTGCGCCGCATCACTCGCGCTGTCCTGACCACCATCTCTACGGTGATTTGGGATAACGTGCTGACTAGCAACCGCTACCGCTTCTCCACCCAAGGTGCCGCACAACTCAGTGTCGATCTTGGAGCCGTATGTCGCGTAGTAAATGAACATGTCGGACCATTTGTAGCAGAAGCCGGGCTCCGCAAATGCCTCGAAGGCGTCAAACTAGTAGGTCTACCCGTCAAAGGCAGCCCCGGCAGTCAATCAGCGGTAGGCCGAAACGAGAAGTCTACACATGACGCCAGTGGCGACGACGAGGAATGGGATACTGAGGCGTGGGGCGCGGAAGACGGAGACGATGAGGCGCCGCGGGATGATGGTCCGCAAAAAGCAAGTGCCAACCGAGAGCAGACGTCATCTGAGGGTGACGATGGTATCGAGTTGGGCCTCTGGGAGGTGGAGAGGCGAGTTTTCGCGGACAATCAGTCGGCAAGGGATGTACTGGATGAGTTGGGCTTGGAACTATTGGACGAGAAGGAGGCTCGGGCATTGATGATGCTGAGGGTGGAGTTGGCGGGTTAGTCTGGGATGGAATTGATGTGATTGCACATGTTCCGTGTCATGGAAATATGGAAGTCGTGCATGTTCGTCATGGGCATGTGCCTTGCTACTTTCTAGGAAGGCGGTGTCGTGAATCGAGATGTCGCCTAATTAGATTACTGAGAAGAGCTCAAAAAGAAAGCTTTGTATCGAAATCCACTTCTCGTACGACTTCAACGTATGTACCATCAACCTGTGACAAACAACGCAGTATCAAATAGAGTGTTTCCACGCATCACGTCATATACATATTAACATCATCTTGTGGATATCGACTCAGCACATAAGAAGAAGCTAAGGTTGTGTGTTTAGAATTTCACCGGGGGTATCAAATATCTCCATCTCATATCCTCACGTCCCACATCCGCCTTGATCACCACTCCAAACTCTCCATCCTCTTCCAGCAGGGTAAACGCTCAGATGCGCATTCCACACAGCGACAAGAAGGCAGAAAAGTAGGTAGGTAGCCACATCCTTAGTTCGAGATCTTAGTGCTGACCTTCTTGCCCGTAACCTTTTCGTACGCCTTGCGCATGCCGTCGGTCTGGTTGTTGTTGTATTAGCGTTTGTCCCATTGCATTCATGTAGATACGCGTCAAGACGAAGGAAGGATGGAATCAACGACTTACGATCTTCTCACTCATGCCACGATTACCAGCAATCTTCTGACCCTGGGCGCCGCCGAACTTCTTAGCTCCAGCGCTGAAGGCCTTGTCGAGGTAGTCCTGGTTTCCTTGCTGAGGGGCCGACATGTTTGCTTTGAGGTGGCTTGGGTAGGTATGCGCGGGCGCGTGTATGCTGTGTGTAGGTAGGTAGGTACGTGTAGTAGCTCGAGGTGAACTGGTTGCGCGTGTTTATATAGATGGTTGCAGTATGAGTTGCGAGGTAAGAAGCAGGTAAGAACGCAGACAGGCAGGTGGCGGTGAGTGAGGGTAAATAAGCCCAAAAACGAACCCTCTCTTTATCGCAATCTCACCACCCGCAGATCTTGTCGGTCGGATTTTTGTTTGGAATCAAGCATTAAACCCTGCATCTGCTCACCTGCTGACCCGCTTGCGAAACGCGCGAATGAGATTACAGGCTAAGACATGTGTTTAAGCCTCAATGCCTTTGCACAGCCACACTTTCTTTATCTGATGGGCATAAAGAGAGAAAAAAATGACGTGGCTTGTTTGGTCTACCGGGTGCGGTATCGGGTATGTGGCTGTGCTGCGCCTCATCAACGCTTACGACTTTTACGAATTGACTTATTGATCGACATCCGGTGTAATCCGCAGAGCTCGAGCGCATTGATGTCGATCATGCCGCCCGTTGAAACCCCATTACGCGCCTGCGCCTGTTCTCACCGTTTATCTCCAAGCTTCCAGAGCTGGGGGGAAAAGGCTAGAAGAGGCGCGACCGATTTCTACCCCGCATAGCCCCACACATCAGCGAGGAAAGCTCCGTTGCCGTGGCTGGCTTTGCTGTCAGGCTAGGGGTTTGGGCGGTCCTGATAAGGCAAACGCAGGCTAGCTTTGTTAGATTATGCATGGTGATCAATCGGCGGAAAGAAAGCAAGAGCGGGGGAGGAGGGAAGATGTTTGCTAGCGAGGTAGGTGGGTGGGGCTGGCAGGTAATGGTAGAGTTGCTTTTTGGTGGCATTGGGAACTGTTGGATAGATAGATAGATAGAGAGGATACTCAGGGGGGTGAGGTGAGGGGTGAGTTTTGAATGTTAGTATTGTTGAGATATGATGGATAGAGAGTAACCGGTGTAGTGGTTGCCACCAAAGCTGTTCACCTACATCGCACACCGATAAACCTTCCGACCCCCTCTCAGCATATATCTCACAAGGCGCGCGCGTATAACGTACTTTATTCGTTTAATTCGTTCATACTAATCGTTAAACCGTCCTACTCCTCTCTATTGCTATAGCCGCGAACCGCTCTTCAAACTCTTCGTCCCTACTTCTCAACGGAACGATAGTTCCATTGATACGTTCGACATACGGCCGGCACTTATTCCACTTCTCATCTAACTTGCTCCACTTCTCCTTGAGTCCACTACACTTGCCCGTACTGGTATCGGCGGCAGCATCTGTACCAAACTCAGGCAGCGTTTGTGCGCGGGGTTTAGTTTGAGACTTTGTCGGGGACGTCCTTGCCGGTCGCTTTTTCAAACATGCTGCTTGCGGAATCCGTCTATCGTGGTTGTTAGCAATATCCCCACAGGAAAGAGGAATGGTGGGTTGAACTGGTGGAATAGACGTACAATCTTCTCATTAACCCCCCGGTTCTTTTCGGTGTTTTGCCCTGCTGAACCTCCCCACTTCTTCTCCGCGGCATCAAGGCCCTTGTCGAGATAGTCTTCGCGCTGGCCTTGGCCCTGCTGGACGCCGGACATCGACGTGTCATTGCTAGTGGAGGCATTTCCCGTGATGTTGTTCATATTTGTGGCTTAAGTGGGTTGGGTGTGATGGTATATGTAGGTCCTGCCTAAAGGAAGAGAATTGGGGTTAGCTTGAGAAGACTAGAACAAAGGTGATAGATGAAGGGGTATGTGGCTTACGATTAGGTTTCAAGGCGTGTTGGTGAGTGATGGCGTGATGAGGTCGATGTGAGGTATGTCGAATCGGATCGGCTGACAGGGCAAACCACGTTGCTTTATCTATCCTTCTCTCCGATTACCTGTCATTAAGCAGGGAAGCAGCACCCTGCGTTTGCGTACGTATGGCAACGGGGTACGCATTCGTACACATATCATCATCATCATCATTGTCCATCACACATCCATTCACAGTACCCGGTGCAATCTCGCCTTCCCCACGAACAACCCTGCATATGATGTGAACCTGGTGTCAGAAAAACTTGGCTTCCGGACACTTAAACTTGGCTTTTGTGCCCTGCAACGCCTACAAACGCCCGTCGCCCGAGCAAGCAAGCAGGGGCAGCGGAATCAAGCCTATCAGGCATTACGGTAACAAAACCCGTTGGCGTATATGAAACTAGTCTTTCTAGTGTGCTACTATGTGAGTCGCCGCCGTTTCCATCATCGACTCCTCTGCTTGTTCCTGCCCTTCTACTGTAGATCAAACAGCTTTATTCACAAATGACGTCACTCGCCATGACATCATACCCCCTTCAATATGTTTGACTCGTTTGCACTTGTCCCAGCCCGACTCCAGCGCATGACGCAAAAAGCTCCACGGATCTACAAACATCCGTAGCCAGCAATGCAGTTCTCGCACCCACTCTTTGTTATCAAAAAAGGTCGATCACAATCCCGCTTATCACGTTGATCACACTTCCCAATATAGCAATCCGAAAATCGGAAAGGAAGATTAAGACATGTGGGCCGGATAAATTGCGTCTTCGTCCAGTGCAGCGCATCCTGCAGCCCCGTGGAGAATTAGAGTGGAGAAGACGGGATCACGGCTGTTGATTGTTGTTGTAAGCGAGGGATAAAATAGGGTCCTTGTCTACACTCCTTGCACGGCAGGTGCGCCATGGAAGGCGGGTATCATGAGATTTTTTTGTTTCTTGTCGGAGAGTAAAGGTGTGAGGAGATACGACGTTTGCCTTGACATGCTAGCTACCTGGAGGACGCAATAGCCTGGAGAGTATGTAGTACCTCTGTATGTACTCGTTACAATTATTTATTAACCACTGTGCTTGGTAGTTAATGCTTACCTTTACTTGACACAAGTACCCTGGTGGCCGGGTGAGCGAAGGTCACGTGATCATCTAACATACCTTCCTGCGTAGCAGAAACCTGGTGTACCAGAAACCACCAACGAAGTTGCACGGATGGCGGGGTTATCGCGACAATTTCCTCTTTAAATTTACCACAGCTAAAGGAAATTATATTTGAAGGGCGATTAGCAGTACTAAGGGCGCAATCTATGGATTGCGGGCGAAGCACAAATAAGTTTTAACATTACACACTAGTGAT